GAGGAAGTGGAACTGCCAATGAGAAGAGGACAACGCCTTGCGTGCACAATGACACTCTGTTACGCTCAAATATACTGGGTCAGGGAAAGGACAGGAGGTCAGACTTCGTGAACTGACACACCTTTGTTGTTCGTCAGGGACGTGAAGTTGAGACCCAGAGCTCTGTAATTTTATTCCTTTACTGCTTAATAAACTACATTAACTGAGACCGAATATCTTCTCCTATTGCTTCATTAAAGAACACGCAGGACTGAGCTCACACATAGCACATTAGAGAGTAGGATGAGACTCTTAGTCCATCACTGCGCTCCCCCTGCGCTGACAGTAGACCTGGTTTCAGATGGCGAGCTTTTAGCGCACCTTCGGCAAAGCCTTTTGGCACGAAACTGTCACTGCGCCAAGCTGGATTTGTCGACACCTCCCCCTGCTGCGCAGCCACACCCATCTCAGCGCACCTCGGTCTGCCAAACTACCAAACTGAGCGCACCTCGGGTTGCGCTGCTCGAAACTAGCTCTGCGCGGGGTTCGCCACCCTACGCCACCTGCGCTGCGCCGGGAAACTAGAGCCCATAGTATGACCGCTGAAGCAGTTGAAATGTCTTTTGAATTTGACGCATTCCTTGAAGGTCTTTTTCTGAGTTTGAACAGCTTTTTATTTTATTGAAAAATAAGTTGGAGAAAATAGGTTTAATAATAATAATAATAATAATAATAAGTTTATTTTAAAGGGTCAGTACAAGGAGACATGTCATCAATGAGCCAAACTGTTTAAAGTTTGGTTATTTTCTTGAAGAAAGTTGAAGAAAGTTTGAGCGCACCAAAAAAGGTTCCAGCAGAAGAAACAGAACAATAAAAATAAAAATGAAAAGGAACTCGGACATTTTTACAGTTACTTTCATCAAACAGATGAAGGATTGGTGTTTTCAGCACCTTGCCAAGACTGAGCCGGGTGGAGCGGTAGCTGTTCTGCAGCATCAAACAGATAAGGAACTTTTTTTTTTTTTCCTTTTTACAATGAAAAGTGACCTTTGAAAACATCTGTTGTTTCACTGTGGGAATCCAACAGTACCTTTTCCTCAAATATGTAACCATGGTATTATGGTGACAGCTGTAACCATGGTAACTGTCCACAACAAAGGCTGTAGCTTCAAAATAATTAGAGGACATGAAAATAAATAACTGAATTGAAATGAATAGTAATGATGCCATCAGAAGAGTCAAGACACAGTCACACATGAGAGACTGCAGGCGAGTGACCGCCATCTGCTGCGGCGATATTTGTGCTGAATGTGGGCAGTGCCTGGTAATGCAACAGAAACACGGAAAGCTAGCTTGCTAGCTAACGAATAAATGTTAGCTAGCTTGCTAATGAACACAATGTGATGTTAATGGTGCATTTTCCATGTTTTAATGTTACCTGCCCGTCTCATGACTCACTGCAGCTAGTCAGGGTCTCTCATGTGGGGAAGTTTATTTTCATACATTATCAGCTGGTTACAGACAGAAACAATCAGCGTCACATGATTCTTTGCTGTTGGTTGAAGCTGTGACTTCACTGATCAAACTTCACCAAAGTTGAACTCCACATGATGTGACGATAAAAACTGCCATTTGGAGTGACTTTTTTTTGCTGCTTCACTGACACTGAATGGAAAGTGAAAAATTGCCTGGGTTAAACTCGCTCATGCACGCGCCCTAAAGCTGCGCCACTGCCAGCTGCGAGGCAGATGAACCCTGACGCCGGAATTCCACTGGATGCGTGTCCGTTGCGGAACGGCTGCGCTGGTTATCTGATGCGTGCTCCACCGTCCGTCAACACACACCGGCTGCGTTTGCTGTGCAGAGCGGTGCAGCTCCGCCAGACAGCGGGAGTCATGAGGACCCACGAGATCTTGCGAATTCACGCATAACTGTGCGATATAACAAGATGTATTTTCTATGAACAGAACCACAAAACCAGAGGAGTAGTAGGAAGACATCTGGGTGCACCTCCATGATTAACATCTTCTCATCCATGGTGTCAACGGGGTGAAATGACGTCTGAAAACCTCTGACCTGTTGACTTCAGGCCTGCCTCCGCCCATTATGACGTTTTCAAGGTGCAGTGCAGGGAAATATGATCCACCGTGAACACTGTATTTTATTTTGAAAATTAACCGGATGTTTTATTGTGTTTCTGTGCACGACTTCCTGCCCCGCACGAGCTGCTCTGTGCTGAATTGCTGCGTTGTGCTCCGGCGTCCAGCAAAAATAGAAGTCCTGCGTATCTGTTGCGGAGGGCTCCGGAGCTGTGACGGAGCTGGAATGCAGCACAGCCGCAGCTGGTGGAAACACACACATTGACTAGAACTGAAACAGATCGGCTCCGCTGCCGTTCCTGAGCGCAGACGCAACCAACACGCATCTGGTGGAATTTGGGGGTGAGGATGATGGCACTAATACTGAGCTGTACCCGCATAGTTCCTGCAGCCTCCAGCGGTGGAGCCAACTCTCCACATGCCCTCAAACTCAGCATAATTCCAGCGTCCAATGTCGGTGCTGGTCAGCGTGTCTGGTGTCAGGTTACAGATGTCGAGGCGGGAAAACTGACACAGGAAATCAGTGTAGGACATCCTGCAGCCGGCAGAGAGAGAAGAAGAAGAAGGAAGTCTAAAGGTTTGGGGTTTTTTGACCAACAGAAACAGCGATGAAACCCTGAATGTGTCACAGTATGTTTCTATGTTCCCTTCAGTGATGTCCTCTGGCCACCAGATGACCTCACCTGTTCCCTGTCTTCACCTCATTATCATGACAATCACTTCAGACTTCAGATCTGAGAACTCATCAGTTATTGGATTTATACAGATCAGTATTTAGATCCTTCACTGAAGTACAACTATCAACACAACAATGTAAAAATACTCCATCACAAGTTGAAGTCCTGCATTCAAACTTAAATAAAGAAGTCTTATCAGATGAATCTACTTCAAGTATCAGAGTAAAAGTATTCCTGATTCTGTCTGACTTTGATGTTTGAACTAAAGTCAAAGTTAATCAGAAGCTAAAGATCAGATTTAGTTCAGAATGATTTTTTCTGTATCTTTAAAACTCACCAGAACTCTCCATCGTCAGCAGAATGGTCCAGCTGCTGCTTCTCCTCCGGCTCAACTCCATCCCACTCCTTCGAACTGACAAATACAAACATCAGAGGGTCCCTGAACGCCTCATTCAGGAGCAGCAGAAACACACAGAGGGAATCAGACTAATGACGGACGGATGGACAGACAGACTCACTTGTCACTCCAGGCTCCGGTCCACTCCACCTGACCCCAGGGATTCCTGATCCTCAGCAGCTCCACCACAGAACCAAAGTGATTAACCTTAAGAACAAAGAGCATCATTCAGGGACAGAACGAGTCCACGACGCCCCCTGTTGGTCCAGACCTCACACCTGCTCCTCCTCAGAGTCTGCAGGTATGAGGTATGTTTAAGAGTCAACCTACGGGGCTGAAACGTGGAGACAAGACCTGCAGTTCCTCTAATGTCAAGTCAAGTCAACTTTATTTATAAAGCACATTTAAAAAATAACTCACTTTGACCAAAGTGCTAAATATATAAAAATAAAAATGAAAAAATACAGAAGAAACACAGTAACACAAAAACCAGAGCCATAGCAGCAACATACATAAATACATATATCAAGGCACAAATAAGCACAGAGTGGGAGATTAAAATATCATGTCAGGGGGATACAAATGCTTTAGAGAAGACATATGTTTTGAGCCTAGATTTAAACGAGTCAATGGAAGGGGCAAATCTGATAGAAGAGGGGATGCTGTTCCAGAGTCTGGGGGCTGCGACCGCAAAGGCAGTCACCCCTGTGTTTAAAATTGGAGCGTCGTACCACTAGGAGCCCTAGGTCAGCCGACCTGAGGGATCTGGAAGCAGCATAGGGGGTTAAAAGTTCTGTGAGGTAGGTGGGGGCCAGACCATTCAGGGATTTATATACAAACAGAAGCAGTTTAAAATCAATTCTGAATTGAACAGGTAGCCAGTGGAGAGAGGCCAGGATGGGGGTGATGTGGTCTCTCTTACAGGTTCCTGTTAGAAGTCTGGCTGCAGCGTTTTGTACCATTTGTAAGCGGGAGAGAGATGATTGATTGATTCCGGTGTACAGTGAATTGCAGTAATCCAGGCGGGTGGAAATGAAAGCATGGATGACTTTTTCTAGGTCCTTGAATGTGAGGAATGGCTTGAGTTTTGAAATGGTGCAGAGTTGGAAAAAAACGGCTTTAACTACTGAATTGACCTGTTTATCAAACTTGAGTGGTGAATCAAAATGAAACCAAGGTTTTTGACGTGAGGTTTGATGAAAGTGGATAGGTTGCCAAGACTGTTGGATATCAGGTAGATATTGTCAGAGGGGCCAAAGAGAATGATTTCTGATTTACTGTCATTGAGTTGAAGGAAGATTACTGCCATCCAGGACTTTATTTCATTAATGCAGTTGTGGATGTTGGTGAGTTTGGACTGGTCGTTAGGTTTGAGGGGAAGATAAAGCTGGGTGTCGTCAGCATAACAGTGGAAGGAGATGTCGTGTTTTTGAATGATTTGACTGAGGGGAAGCATGTAGATGGAGAAAAGAATGGGACCTAGGAGGACTGAACCTTGTGGGACACCGCAGGAGAGAGTAGCTGGGGTAGAGGAGAGTGTGCCTATGTTTACGGAGAAGGTTCTATTGTTGAGGTAGGATGTGAACCAGTTCAGAGCAGTGCTATTAATACCAGAGCCATGGTGGAGATGGTCTATTAGTATGTTGTGGTCTATTGTGTCAAATGCTGCTCTGAGGTCGAGGAGAATGAGAATGGCACAGTTACCGGAGTCGATGGAGAGGAGCAGGTCGTTGTGGATTTTTAACAGAGCGGATTCTGTGTTGTGGTGAGGCTTGAAACCAGATTGAAATTTTTCCAGGATGCAGTTATGATGTAGGTAGGGCAGAAACTGATTGAGGATGGCCTTTTCGAGAACTTTTGACAGAATTGGGAGTTTGGAGATAGGTCTGTAGTTATTGGGCAGTGTGGGATCAGTGTTGGGTTTCTTCAGAAGTGGCTGAAAGACTGCGTGCTTGAAACAGGTTGGGACGGTGCCAGTGATGATGGAGCTGTTGATGATGGAGAGGATGCTTGGACCAGTGACTTCAAAGACATCCTTCAGGAGAGCAGTGGGGATAGTGTCAAGAGGGCAGGTTGCTGGTTTCATGCTGGTGATGATGTGTCAAAGGGTGGATAGAGAGACGTGTTGGAAACAGTCCAGTTTGGATGAACAGACCAGGGAAACAGCTGGGTTTTCGGTGGGGGGTTGAATGCTTCTCCTGATGGCTTCCACTTTATTAATAAAAAAAGTTTAAGAATTCTTCACAATTGGCAGGGGACACAACAAGGCTGGTGTTGGGTGGAGGAGAGATGACGGAGTTTATGATGTTGAATAGGACCTTAGGATTATGGAAGTTATTGGAGATTAAAAGTGGAGAAATAATTGGTTCTTGCAGCCTTAACTGCTTCCTGGTAGTTGTGTAAGTGAGTCCTGAGTATTTCAAAAGAGATCTGTAGTCTGTCTTTTTTCAATTTTCTATCTGCTTTTCTGCATGATCGTCTGAGAGTACGGGTGTTGTCGTTGAGCCAGGGTTGAGTTTTATTTTTGGGGTTTCTGAGTTTGAGTGGGGCAATAGAGTCCAGGATGTCGGCACAGCTTGAGTTAAACCGGTAGATCAACTCATCTGTGTTCAGGGATGATGACCGAGGGGCCTCAATGTTCCAGGATGATGAAAATGATAGAAATGCCTCGGTGAACTGTCTAACTGTGGAGGAGGATATTGTGCGGGAGTATGAAGCAGATGATTGAGGTTTAGGATCCGGCTGAAATATGGTGGAGAACTGAATGCAACGGTGATCTGAGATCCCCAACTCTTCTACAGCCAGAGAGGGAGTGGTCAGGCCGAGTGTAAAGTCTAATGTGTGACCATGGTTATGGGTTGGGCCGATACCAGTTGCGTGAAGTTAAAAGACTCCATGGTACGGAGAAATGAAGTAGCTTTGGTGTTAGATAAAATGTCCACATGAAAATTAAAATTGCCAGTGATTAAGATTTTATCATGCGATACAACAGCTGAGGATAAAAACTCAGAGAACTCAGTGAGGAAGGTGGCATCCAGCCTTGGGGAACGATACACAACAGCACACAGGACTGGGCATGAGTTACTGGTTTTAAACATCAGCACTTCGAAACTGGAAAAGATGTCAGTGGCTAGGGGGGTGCAGTTAAGAGAGTCTCTAAAAATGACAGCCTATGTCCACTAGAGGCTGTCTCCCAGAGTGAGCGCGTCCCCACAGAGCTCCATGTTAACACGTAGAAATCAACATTTTCCAGCCTGTTTGGTCTGGAGATCATTTCAACGTTCATCACAACTGAACTTTAACAGAACTCAGCTGCTTACATTTTATTAAGGATTACACATAATGAAGGGGGCAGGGCCTCTTTGACTGACAGGCTGGCTGCTGATTGTAGCCACTTCTGGGTCCTAAAATCCAAGATGGTGATGGCCGAAGATAAAAACAGGAGTCCAGAAACCACTGGGTGATGTCACAGTGGCTACAGTCATTATTTATACAGTCTATGGGTGTGTCCCCCTGTTAGTGACATTCAGGTAAAACAGTAAAAATACTCTCAGTATATCGCACACTTAAACTGATTTAGATTTTTTTTTAGGTGTCAGAAACAAGTTTTGTTGCTGACCCGGCCCACAGCAGGACATCACTGAGCTTGGGGTCTGACTCTCCACTGACGCCTGCCGTAGGTAACACGCTGACTGTGGATAAACACCTCAAACCTGAACTGTCCGTTTCAGCTGCATCAGGCTCGTGTTGTTTGTCAGGTTTTGTGTTGGCTGTGAAGGAAACACTGAGGGTCTGCAGCTGGACCCTCCTGAGACTTCTCTCACCCACAGTGTAAGGGGCCTAAAGCCAGTTAGAGTCCACACCAGGTGCAGACAGATCACCCATAATTCATACCAGCATGTAAAGACAGCCAATCACCTCGACTGCTTTTCTGTTTCGGTGTTACATAAAAAAAAAAGAATGCAATTCTGTTCTGAAACTTGAAGACATTCACCGAAAATCTGGCAGTGTAAAATAATAATAATAATAATAATTATAATGGTAATAATAATAATAAAAACACCTACAATGCAGTCTTGGGATCCCTCCTCTGGTGAATTCACACCCATTCACCCTAACGACTCACATGGTGGTCAGGTGGGTCAACGACTCACATTGTGACCTTAACGACTCTGAAACTAAGAGCTCGCGGGACCCCTACGACTCTGCAAGGGTTCCCACCCACACAGGGTTTATAGCCTGCAACTTCGTACCAGTCATTTAGAACTGAAGAAGCTTCTTGGATGAGAGGCCAAACGTCTTCAAGAAACGCAAGCAAGTCCAGTTGCCTACAATATTAGCACTTACGAATATAACTGGGTAGTGGTTTGAGATCTGGTTCAGGAGAGGAGTGAGCAGGCGAAGAGGAGACGAGTTGTTGGTGTATTGTTTCGATTTTTGAGTGAAAGAAGGACAGGAAGTTATTGCATTTGTTGGTAGTAAAATTGGCAGTGATGTTGTCCTGAGGTTTTGTCAGTTTGTTGAATGTGGAGAACAAGGTGCGAGATTTTGAGCAGTTGGAGTGGATCATTTCAGAGTAAAATCTGGAGCGGGCGTTGTTAAGCTCAGTTTTGTACAGTGTGACATGGTCTTTGAGGGCTTGGGTGTGGACAGCGAGACCGGTTTTCTTGTGGAGACGTTATAGTTGTCGTTGTTGCTTTTTGAGATTATGTAGTTCTGGGGTGAACCATGGGGAGGAATGAGTGAAGGAGGCATTTATTGCCTTGAGAGGGGCGAGCTTGTTGAGGCAGGTGGAGAGAGTCTGATTGTAGAAGTCAACAAGGTCAAAAAGGGTTGAATTTGTGGGGAGGGAGGAGTGAGTGATGGAGCCAGATATGGATGAGAGGGCGGTGGGACAGAGAGATTTGAGGTACGGAAGGTTATTGTGCGAGTTTGTTTGAGGTTGGGGACGGGAACGTTAACAACCATAGTGACAGCCAGGTAGGTCAGAGATTGTGAGGTCGGTTAGGGAGAGATCTTGAATGGTGAGGGAGGGGGTTGAGCAAACCAGGTCCAGAGTGTGGCCACAGCTGTGGGTGGGAGAATTCATATGCTGGGTGAGGTTGAAGCAGTTTAAAATGTCCAGAAAGTCGGTTTTGAATTTGGCTTTCAAGGAGTCAATGTGGATGTTGAAGTCACCGAGGAGGAGAATGGATGGTGAGATGAAGAACAGCTGAGTGAGGAAGTCAGTAAAGTCAGTGAGGAAGGATGTATTGTTTTTGGGGGGCCGGTAGATGATGGCAGCAGTGAGTGTTTGTGAACCAGGTAGTCTGAAAGCCAGGTGTTCGAAGGATGAAGCAGCAGGGATGGAGAGTGGGCAGACGGTGAGGCCATCACGGTAGATGACAGCAGTGCCCCAACCCCAACCATCTGGGTGGGGATTGTCCAGGTAAGAGTAACCGGTTGGTGTGGTCTGGTTCAGAGCAATGTAATCCATTGGTTTGTGCCAGGTTTCAGTGAGACAGAGCAGGTCCAGTTTCTTGTGTGTTATGAAGAAGCCAAAGTTATCACGGTAAGGGAACTCCATGACCTGGACCAGTATAGATAATGTCTATTACTGTGTGTGTTGTCTGGTTCCCCCCGTGTTTGGTAGCAGAGGGCTCTGTGTTGGGTTATCTGGCGAGGAACTTATTGACTTATAGATGAGAGCAAATCTGTCTGATTTTCTCTCTTCACTGTTTTTTTTTAACTTTTTCTCTCTCTCTCTTTTTTCCATGTATTGGAGCTGCATGCATTAGTCTCCACTTTACGTTTGACCTTAATCGGATTGCGGGAAGGAATCTCTTATGCTATTATATGTTTATTGTTGGAACAGTCTAGGATCACATGGATTTCTGCAGGGGACTCTTTTTTTTTAGCAATGCATGAAATTCTCTCCTTTGCGTGCATAGTAATGGGACTGGTAGCCTGCATGTGGACAGTTACTAATTTTTTCCTTTTATTATTTGGTTATTTTGTGAATGGACATATACCTATTTATTTACTTTTTCCTTTGTTTGTTCTGTCTTGTTTTGAGGGTATGTGCTTATTATTATTATTATTATTTGTAAAATTGCTTGCAGAGGGTGGTGTTGGTTTTTATGTTTGGGCGTGTGTGTGTGTGTGTGTGTGTAGATATGTGAGTGATGACATAAGCGTGGAAGGGAGAAATCGGGTCTCTCAGTTTCCTATATGCAGGATCAGGATTTAGACATTGACCCTGAGAGTAACTTTTTTAAGAATGTTAACAATAACTGCTGTTACTGTCGTGAAGATCAATTTCAAAACAGATATAAAAGTAGACAATGGCATATCAATCATCCACTTCAATAGCATAAGTCTTTACGCTAACTTTCATAACATTAAAGATTATTTAAGTCAGTTCAAAACACCTTTTAGTGTAGTTGCAATTTCAGAAACCTGGCTGAGTGCAGAGAAGAGGTAGATTTTGAGCTGGATATGACTTTAAATTCATGAACAGAAGAAATAAAGCGGGAGGAGGGATGGCTATCTATATAGATAAAACCTTAAAATATAAGATTGTATAGAGCATGACTAAGGCTATTGATGATGTGTGCGAATGCATTACCGTTGAAATCAACATGGAAAGACAGAAAAATATTATTGTCAGCTGTGTTTATAGAGCTCACAGCTCCAATATTGATACATTTAGAGAAATATTGCAGGGTTTGTTTACAAGAACCAAACATAAGGTCACATTAATTTGTGGTGATTACAATATAAATCTATTAGATCCTAATAAGAACTCATCAACCAATGAGTTTACATCTGCTATGTATGAGTGTTGTGGTGATGTCCGTTGAGGGAAGTGTATGGTGGTTGAACCGGAGGAGCTGTGAGGACGTGTACCGGAGAACCATGGTCAGTTGGAAGGTAGTGGTAGAGGAGGCTACGTGACGTTGCAGCAGGAAAACCACACCGCGACAGGCAGTGACCAGAATAGGGTATGGTCCAGAACTGAGGCAGCACCAGGAACCACCAGAAGCAAGTAAGGAAAAACTAGCAAAACAACAGCCAAACGCGCCAGCGTCCTCTCCCAAACCAGAAGCACAAGGGACTATTGTTTACTGATGGAAGGCAAGGGACAGACTCAACTCACGTTCATGTCTGACGTTTTGTCTTTTTGTGTCAGGTGGAAGATGTGAGCTCACCTCTGATGACATCACCATAAACATCTAATCTATTTAATTTCCTCACTGTCATCCAGAGTTTGGAAAATATTTCTACCTACTGTTTGTGTTTTCACCATTTCTCTTCTCCTGACAGTTTTTCACCTGCAGAGCTCTCTGAAGATGTTTGATGATTAACTTTGATCTTTAGGAAATGTCTCAGATCTGAGAGCTGTCTTGGAAAGTAATACCTCTGTGTACGAGGAAGCTCTGCGATTACGCCCCCTGGTGTGTTCAGGTGCTTCTCTAAAATTCCGCAGTTTTCTGTTCCTCTTCCTGTGAACTACACAGTCAAACTTAACAGTGATAAAACTGAGGTTCTCCCTGTAGGTAGTACATCTGCTCTGGCTAAACCACATAGTTTCTCTGTGACCACTGACACAACGTCTGTCCTCCCCTCAGATTAAGAGTCTGGGTGTCACTCTGGACAGTTTATTGTCCTTTGAGGTCCACATCAGTAATGTTACTCAGTCTGCAGACTTTCATCTACGAAATATTAATCGTCTTCGCCCGTCATTTACACCTCAGAGCAATGGTCTTTTGTGTATATAGAAAATGTTTTAGATCTTTGAGTTCAGCTCATGAAAAATGGGAGCAAAAACAAAAGTGTTGCGTTTATATTTTTGTTCTGTGTATATTACTGAATTCTTTGACTTTATGATCTATGAATACATTACTGTCTTGTCAGGTGTCCATGAATGCTTTAAAAGGCGCCTATAAAGAAAATGCATCAATATTATTATTATTATTTCCCAGCATGCCTCACCTGCTGTGCAGCAGTGATGGAGTAGGCGTGACCTTTGACCAGCTTCTGACGGGTGATGGCCTCTGTCTCATATGAGCTGGAAATCTGACAAACATGGAAGCACAGCAGTAAATGTGTTTACATGTCTGTATCTCAGATACTCACATCACTCATTCATTAGGTAAATGAGTTAACAAACTAAAATGCTAACAGGCTAATAAGCTAAATGAGCTAAAATGTTTAACTATAAGCTGACACTGAGCTCAGCTGTTATCCAGCTGTGATGAAGTAAAATGAGACAAATCATTGATGTGCAGACGGCAGGGCGGGACGTGTTTGTGAACACATGTTGTCAGGTACCACTGATTTAGTGTCCCTTTAACTCTAACCAACAGCTGCAATGTCAAACAGGGATGTGAAGTCTCATGTAATTCTCCAGTAGTTTTTAAATGCGTCTGTGTTAGAGTGTGTGAGTGTTTTTACGTTGATGGAGCAGCCAAGCAGTGAGCCGAGTTTCAGAGCCTTCCTCATGATGTTAAACAGGAAGGGCGGAGCTTTGTTTAGGTCATAGCTCTCTGAGATTCCTCCGGTGAAATCCTCAAAACCCTCGATGCTCGAACCTCCAGTCAGAGCCTCGTACGAGCTGTTCACCCTGCGGGAGACAGTTCACATTTGAGCTCAAGAGTGACGCTGACCTATGGACAAAATAATGTAAACACCTCAAACCAGCTGAATCCGAATCAATCCATGTCAACAGGTGTTTTATTTAAACTGAACAGCTTTTTCATATTTTTGTGTGGTAGTCAAAGTCAACACTCTTTAAGTTGTAGCTAAAACACTGAGAGAAGTTAAAGTGGAAGCTGAAATCAAAGTGCTCAAAGGAATTGGAAATGTGGTAAAAAAAGAAATTATTGTCAATTAAAATGTTAGTAAAACTGAAAACATACTGAGTCAAGTGTGAAGTGTAGCCAAAGTGTAGCTGTAAAGTAGCTGAAGTGTAGCTGTAGTGTAATTGAAGTGTAGCTGAAGTGTAGCTGTAGTGTAATTGAAGTGTAGCTGTTGTGTAATTGAAGTGTAACTGTAGTGTAATTGAATTGAAGTGCAGCTGTAGTGTAGCTGTAGTATAATTGAAGTGCAGCTATTGTGTAGCTGTAGTGTAATTGAAGTGCAGCTATAGTGTAGCTGTAGTGTAATTGAAGTGCAGCTATAGTGTAGCTGTAGTGTAATTGAAGTGTAGCTGTAGCATAGCTGTCAGACCTGAATAAAGTTGAAGTGTTTGTTCATCTGTAGGTAGGGGCTGGCTGCTGCAGATGTGTCCATCAAGGCTGACACGGCTGTTCACTTTACAAGGATGAACAAATATATCATTTATGTCTTCACTTTGTATTATCCATTACTTTCATTGCACAATTAAAATAACGCTAATAAACACAGTCAATATAGCCTTTATGAGTCTTTTCTAATTATGGTTTTACCCTCCTGTTGGCACGTAGGACCACTGAGAAATGTAATTGGTGGTAAATAAGCGGGAGCTCATTAATCGCACTTTTGGAAGCCTCCTTTGTACTGCATTGCCGTATTTGCTGAGGAAACACAGAGCCCGGAGCCGTCGGGCTGTCTGGGTCCACAGAGTCCTGCAAACCCGGCAACTCCACGGTGAATTTCACCGGCTCGTACAGCTCCGGGAGAGCCCAGACCTCCGTACCCAAATCCCGGTTTGCAATTGGCTGCTGCTTTGGCAGCGGCGCTGCTCATTTGCATAAAGTTCAGCTTCTCTCAACTTCTACTTGACGCTCTGGTCGCTGGCATCACGCAGCTCGCTGCAGCAGAAGCCCCGGACGCCCTTCGTAGCAAGTGTACATTGAAAATGAATGCCTGCCGGCCGCTTATGACGCTCATGATGCTTTTGGTGTGAATGAACAGTGAGGCACACCTGTGCTCCACTGTGTCACTGCTGAGAGGGAGCTGTTCACTCTGACTCGTTGGGTCGTATTCGTTAAGAAAGAATAAAACCATTTAATGATAAAAGAATTCACCTTCATGTAGATTAACTTCTGAATGATCAGGTAGGGTTGGACTGTGTTAAAAGCTGAACTAAAATCTGCAAATAACACTCTAGCATATGCTTTGGGGTCCTCTCGATGCTTATTAATTAAGTGAGTGACAGAAATAGCTGCATCCTCAGTGCTACGACCCTGTGTGTAGGCAAACTGTAGAGGATCTACACAACCATCAACCTCAGATTTAAGCATACTGACAATGATCCTTTCAAAACATTTCATCACAACAGATGTTAATGAGACAGGTCTGTAGTCATTATTCACAGCTGGACATGAAACCTTGGGGACGGGAACAATGACAGATTTTGTCCACAGACCTGGCACCGTGTGACTGTTGAGTGACCGTTGAAAAATGGGATACCAGACAACAGATAATTCCACAGCACAACTTTTTAACAAAAAGGCAGGCAGGCTGTCGGGACCTGTTGATTTTCTTTTGTAAGCTTTGCTAAAGACATTCTGCACCTGCTGAGGTGAAATTAAGAGGTCACATTTCCCCGTAGGATTCATAGTGTCTGAAATCTCCTTCCCCTTCAAGGAGAAGTCCTGATCCTCAAACCTGAGGAAGAAGCCATTTATTTCATTTGCCCTGCCTGAATCATCCAAGGTTGCTCACTGTTTCTTACATGGGGTCATATTAGTTATGTTCATGCAGTCCCATAACCTCCTGTTATCCATGGCTCTAAAGCTTTGTTCAGTGTCAGAGTGATGTTTATCTCTTGCCTTCCTGCGCAAGTGGTTAAGCTCCTTTTGAACAACGGCCACACCGACACGATCTTTGGGTCTCATTCATGAAAAGTGAGTAAATCTCTGTGTAGATTTGCACATAAAAGCCTACTCTACTAAAAACCTACTCCGGATTCAGGAACGCCGCGGGAAACTCAGATTTGATCATAAACGCGTGTGTATGATCATGAATGCCAATCCATCGTAAAGTGACAGCGCGTTCCCGGTAATCAGCAATTAGCATAAATCCCCACCCATGAATAGCCAGTGACAACCATATAAGGAGGTGTAGGTGAATCCAGTCGACCTGTCAGTCATGGCGCAAAGAAAGAAAGAGAGAGAAAGAAAAAAGAATTTTTCCGAAGCGGAGATTGAAATAATTTTGGGTGAAGTGGACTTAAGAAAAAACATTTTATTTTCTTCAGTTAGTAGTGGTGTGACAGGGACAGGCAAAGAGAAGGCCTGGAGGGAGGTAACAGATGCTGTTAATGTTGTTTCCGTGGTACAAAGAACCATGTCAGAGGTGAAGCGTAAATGGTTTGATATGAAACTGGAGGCAAAGAAACGCATAAGCACACACACAAAAAATACAGCGGTCACCAAACAAACAGAAGATTCATTTGTGGGGTTTTGAATGAAGTGGGAACGGAAAACCAGAGATGTTTTGTGCGTAATGGATAAACTCTAAATCAGTGATGGCTGTCGGAATGTAGAGCTATTTAACATTTATTTTAACAAATGATACAGATAACATATAGCCTACAGCAGTTTGTATGCATCGTCTTCAAATTATTTGAATCTTAATAGCCTAAAGCTCTGTTTGATACAACGTAAATTAAAGTTTTCAAATCAGATTTATTCATTCAAATGATCAAAAAGCCCTTCTGTGCGGAGTTTGCATGTTCTCCCTGTGTCAGCGTGGGTTTCCTCCAGGTGCTCTGACATGTTCTCCCTGTGTCAGCGTGGGTTTCCTCCAGGTGCTCTGACATGTTCTCCCCGTGTCAGCGTGGGTTTCCTCCAGGTGCTCTGACATGTTCTCCCCGTGTCAGCGTGGGTTTCCTCCAGGTGCTCCAGCTTCCTCCCACAGTCCAAAGACATGCAGGTTAATTGGTGACTCTAAATTGTCCATAGGTGTGAATGTGAGCGTGAATGGTTGTCTGTCTCTATGTGTCAGTCCTGCGATAGTCTGGTGACCTGTCCAGGGTGAACCCTGCCTCTCACCCAGTGTCAGCTGGGATAGGCTCCAGCCCCCCCGTGACCCTCAAGAGGATGAAGCGGTTAGAAGATGAATGAATGAATGAAAAACGTGTTGTCTCAAATAATTCTTTCAGCTGGCGTGTGCTCCTTCGTGGCTCCACCACCTGCTGCTCCTGCTGAACCCAGGCACCGAGGCCGAAGAGGCTGTGATCCGGCTGTCCTCACCGATATTTTTATTATCATCATTCAACATGTAGAAAGAACATGTGATCTATTGAGTCGATTTACATAGATAATTCACAATCATGAACCTAATCTGGATCTTAAACCTGCTAATTGCCAACTAATTTAACTAAATGTGTTATATTTTTAATATTTTGTCATGTGTAGATTACGTGTTTTGAAGGCATCTGTGTATTGTGTACATAACAGAGCGCTAGACGAATTAAAATTGTAATTTCCAATAGTGACAAGCAATATTTATGTGCTTTACTAAATTTACACAAGCACTACGAGTGGTCAGGAGCAGGAGTAGATTTTGTTAGTGGCTACGAAAAGATCAGAGCTACTAAAATATTGATGAATGCGGACAAGCACATAAATTTAAATCTGCAAACAGTTTACACACAAATTCCTTCTGCTCACGTTTCATGAATGAGACCCTTTGTTTTTAAAAGCCAACTTTTCCCTGTTAATACATTTTTTGATCTCCTTAATGTGAACTTTACTGTTGGGGAAATGTAAAGCTCTTTTTTCTCAACCCCATTGTCCACACAGATGTAGTCTGTGGTGAAGAAACATGCTCCAGTCAGTGCTGAGGAAGCAGCTCCTCAGTGTTCCAATGCTGTCCTCAGTCCACGTCAGCATCACGTCAGGGCTTGGTTGACTTCAGCACTGATTTATAAGTGGGCATAAGATGCACCCTTGAGTGATCCGAGTTAGCGATGGGAGGAAGGGTAAATGACCTGAAGGCATCAACTATGTTTCCAAAACAATTATCCAGTGTTTTTGAGTTTCTGCTGACACCCTTTACATGTTGTTGAAACCCCGGTAGCGCTGGCTCCAGTTTACAATGGTTCATATCCCCGAGTACAAAAACCGGGCCCCCAGAGAACACTGGAGTTGGGAGTGAACACATTCGGATATAAGATTAGCAGCTCTACCAGCATTACCACCAGGAGGGATGTATGCTAAACACATAATAATATTCCAAAACTCTCTAGGGAGGTAAAAGGGACGCATAGATACACATAGAAGCTCCAGATCAGGAACACACAGACTCTGTCTTACTGTATATTGCTTGCACCCGTTATTACTTACATAGACAATTAACCCCCCACTTCTTGATTTCCCTGTTGAGTCATTTCTGTCCGCAGGGACGCAGGAGAAGCCCTCCAGCTCCACCAGTGAGTCCGGGGTGTCCTGACGGAGCCATGTCTCTGTCAGTGCGAGAACACTCGATTCTGTATGTTGATGGCAAAATCTTCTGTTTACCCAGAGCTCGTCCATTTTACAGCACAGCGACCTTACGTTGCTTAATATAATTGAGGGCAGCGGTGGTCTGTTACCGCATCTGCAGAGCCGCTGTTTGACGCCCCCTCTCCTGACCCTCTTTCTCTGCTGTGATTTCGCCGCTGGCTTCGCTCTAATGTACTCTGGCAGGTGGTCCGGGGGTGCTTTGCTTTTGTCCCACAGAGCAAGCAGCGCCTCCCTAGAGTACACAAGGTGACATTCCACCTGCAGGGATGATGGGGACAGGATCACCCCCGAAAGTTCACCCACCACCAGAAGAAGGATCAGCAGGGTCAGGAGGGCCGCCACGGCTGCGTCGTCCTTACCGACCTTTAGAACTGTCGCTGCAGTGACCAGCTGCAGGGCTACTGCCCTCTGCACCCATACGCTGGACGCTGTATCCTCCTTGAACGCCCCACCTCCACCGCCGCGGACCAGGAGCTTCGTTAGGTGGATCGCAACCGGTCGTGCAGTTGCTGTGGTGACAAGCTGCCCAGCTGTTGAAGATCCAGCTGCTAGGCCACAGCCATCGGCGCCTACCATCGGATGTCACTGCTCCTCCCGTGGCGGCACACCACCACCTTCTCCGGCAGACTGGCCAACTGCTTGGCTCAGGTCTCTCTGTTGCTGCCCCTTTAAGCACTGGTCTTCTTCACCACACCAGTGCACTGCCGCTGTGTAGCAATCGGGCAGCTACTGAATGCAAGCTGGCATTAGTTAGCTCTGGCGTCCACGTTATCTCAGGGCGTGGTGTAGGGGCATACAACCATCTAATCCGACTACACTTAGCACCAGTAATGCTAACTGCACAACGATTGTACAGACTCAGGGCTGCCCCTGACCAAATTGGGACCCTAAGCGAAATTTTATTTGGAGGCCCCCATCCCAAATGTATCATAGGTACAAAATGACCGTACAACAACTTGCCATTTAACTTGACAACCTTTACTGGCAATAACAAATGTACTGTAGATACAGTAGTTTGACTGTATGAGTCAAATAAAATAAAAAAATTCAACCTGAAATAAATAAATAAATAAATCTGAGTCACAAATAGCCATCAATTACTCATCACAAGAAAGTAACTTCCACCACCTCAATCCCCCACCCTTGATTAAACACTGAAAATAAAATAAAAGAGGGAGACAGGTTTTTCCTATTTAATCTTATTTAGCTATATTTCTCCCTCTCCCCTCTCTGGAGGCGTCCGACCTCCCGGCCCCGCACACACTCCTGAGGCTCTTTTGGACAACATGTCGACAACTCTTCACCTGCTGCAGCTCTGCAAGTGCCTGCCGGCGCACCCCTCTTATTGTTCAGATGTCGAGTGCTGTCAATCATTGCAGCGACACATGGGCGGTCAGGTCTCTTCTCTCCTTCCTCGAGCTGATTCTACGAGCACCTAACGGTAGCGCATGTGCGCATCCATTGCGCATATGCGCAAATGTGTCCCCTCGCGCAAAATGTGGCCCCCCATGGAAGATGAGGCCCTACGCACAGCACATGTTCTGCGTTTAGGGAGGGGCGGCCCTGTACAGACTACATGTAACAACAGAGAATAACGTAGAAACATAAATAAATGTAAAAAGTGCAATATGCAGCACAGCACTACGGCCCAGGTCACCAGCAGAGCAGCGCCCTGGAAGTAGACACACCCATTTAGCTTCAAAGACCATTTGAGAGCGCTATGATAAAATCACTCTTCATCCTTCAGACTGTGGGGATGTGAAGTGAGGCAGAGTAAATCAGAGCAGCAGGTGTGACAGGGTTACCTGTTCAGCATAAAGAGCTGAGTCAGCAGCTCTGTTTGTTTTCCAGGCTGGTCGAGCCGAATATTTACTGAGTAAACTTTGCTCCACCCTGCTGCTAATCACCTCCAACACACACATACACACTCACATATATACACATATACACACACACACTCACTCACTCACACACAGCAGGCTTTCACTCAGCACTCCTCTAACCACTGCCTTCCTACTGTCGGTGTTCAGCGGCTGATCTGAAGTCAGCGCAGGTGAACAACGTTATATGTGGAGCTTCAGGTCCTTCAGTCCTTAAAGACAGTGTGGTTGCATTCAGTCCCCTGGGAACCAAAGTACAGTCAGAGAAAGATGAATTTTAGTCCCTGTCTATGGCTCGTAATCACATGTGAGTTAACACGTGAGTTAACTCAAGTGTAAACAAGTGGAACCACTGAGAGAAAGTGAAGTGTTGGACAGTAGGAAACAAACTACAAGTAATTACACATTAACAGGTGATTTCAGTTGAAGTGTAAACTGTGGGGACCTGCAGTGTCAGTGTCACCAAGGCAGAGCCACGTCACACTGTGGTCATTGACTCGGACCAGCAGCTCTGTGAGGCCGTGCTGAGACTCGTGGGGTTTCTCAGAGTCGAGGACGGATCCTTAAACGGCTGAATTTTAAAGAGGCTGCGTCATCAAATCGAAGGACTGTTGCAACGTCAAGGATCCTTCGATTTCTACCGAGGACAGAGTCCTTCCTTCAGAGGATTTTCAAGGATGCATGTGTGTATCTTCAGCAGGCATGAAGTACCCACAATTCCTTGTACATGATTTGCCTGAAATGAAGGTGGGGCCTCTTTAATGACACACACCTCGGCACTCACTAACCTGTTCCAATGTGTGTTCACCAAATGACAGGAAGGAGACTGACCTTGTCACTGTAGGACCTAACATGGAAGGACCCATCCTTGACTTTGAGAAGCACAGACAGCCGCTACTTTGAGCTAAATGCTAACATGTCAGAGCACCTGGAGGAAACCCACGCTGACACAGGAGAACATGCAAACTCCACACAGAAGGGCTCCCGCACCCGGGATCGAACCAGGAACCCTCTTGCTGTGAGGCGACGGTGCTAACCACCATACCACCGTGCCGCCCGTTTACCATTTTAGTTCAGCATGTTAGCATGCTAGTATTAGCTCATTCCAGCTGAGGCTGAGCGTCATCACATCTGCAGTGTTGGGAATAGAATGATGTTATGTGTTTTACTATAAGTTGTGTTTCACTATATAAGTTTTAGATGTGTGAACAATGAGAATACTGAGATGATTTCAGCTGATCTGAATGTGTTTGCTTTGCAGAAGTGGAGAAGTACAGGAGAGGAAGAGACATGAAGTCTGAGGAGCACATACCGCAATGCTTAGATAATTAGTTTCATATATGGTAAAAAGAATAGAAAGTGATAAACAGATAGTAAGGTACAGCACGTGTAGGGAGTTGTGTTGTTCTCTTGTCTTTCAAAACAGGAACCACGCCCCCACCGCCAGCGGGAAGGAGTCAGATTAACACGAGGCAGGGGCGTGGTGTGGTGAAGGAGGAAGTGGAACTGCCAATGAGAAGAGGACAACGCCTTGCGTGCACAATGACACTCTGTTACGCTCAAATATACTGGGTCAGGGGAAGGACAGGAGGTCAGACTTCGTGAACTGACACACCTTTGTTGTTCATCAGGGACGTGAAGTTGAGACCCAGAGCTCTGTAATTTTATTCCTTTACTGCTTAATAAACTACATTAACTGAGACCGAATATCTTCTGCTATTGCTTCATTAAAGAACACGCAGGACTGAGCTCACACATAGCACATTAGAGAGTAGGATGAGACTCTTAGTCCATCAGCAGGTATTTGGTCGTAAACCAAAGAATTGGACTCATTTAAATGTTGACCTGATGATGCCGCTACATGAAAGTCAGGTCAACCTGTTGAGAACACAAATGATGTACCACATTTCATCACAATCCATCCAGTCAGCTCCTTTTCAGTAACAGGGTGTCAAATACCGTCACTTTGTCACGCCCCTCAACATGTGACACTGACGCCAAAGGCCCTTTAGCATTGTTACAGGAAGCACCAGGCTTTCAGTTAACTCCAATGTAAACCCATCTGTGGTAATACTTGAGAGCAACTGATGTGATATAAAGAGCAAGGAAGTCAGAAAACACCGGGTTGGAGGGAGGTGAGGTGGGCGGGTCAAACAGGCTGCTTTTCCTTAGATCTTTAAAGTTTTTCTCTTAGCATCTACCGTTCACTCCTCGCACACATGCTCACTCATTTCTTTCTGTCATTATAGGGCCATCACTGAGACATCAGCTGTTCTGTCAGCTGATCTCAGTTAACCAGTAGCACAGAGACACACCTTCTCTGTCAGCCTATCATCTTACTGCATCGTGTTTTCAATACAGTTCTCGTCCTTCTCGTAGTTCTTTCATGCTGCAGTTGTGCGAACCCTCCACCTCCCCATCACCTCCAATTCTTCGCAGATTCATCAGCCTTCAGTCTCAGAGTCATCAGCCACCACCAGCAGCAGCAGTGTCTGGACTCCATGAAGGGGGCGGGGTTATCCTACTGCAGTACTGCAGCTCAGATGGCGCTTGATTGCAAATCCCCCTCGAGAGTCCAAGTGCCAAAGACGTTCTGTCGATTCATATTCATCACATTATCTGTTAATCTGTTCACCTCTGTCTGTATTAAACATCTTTATCTCATTCACCTGGTCTCTCCTGATTGATCGTCGCGCACTGATGTCACTATGTAACAAACATACTTCTTTAAACCCAAAAGGTGATCTTTTTCCTAGACCTAACCACAACCGTTTCAGAACATTAATTATGTGTTGCGTTCTTTCAGCTGTGCATTACAAAGAGACGCTGAAGGGTTCCCCGTGCGTCGCTACCAGACGTCAAGGGGCGTATCAGAGCAACAGTATTTGATGACCTGGGAATGGAAACAGGTAGGTCCAATAGCTGTTGTCTCATGGTGGTGCTGGATGGAAAGTTCAGAGGTCACCAACATGTGTGTCTTACTTGGCGTAAGCTTTCTCCAGCAGCGCACTCCAGAACTCTCCGCCCTCTGCCGAGTGAACGAACAGCAGCTTCCCGTCTCTGGTGGGCAGCCGGTCGTCAACCACCACATCCACCCAGTCCCCATACTGCCACAGCTGCAAGTACAAAAACACCTGATGTCACTTCCTGTACAGACTCCACCCACTCCCCTTACTGCCACAGGTACAAAAACAACTGTGCTGTGTCTCAAATCGCGTACTTCTGTACTTACATTTAATATTGTGAGTGCATCAGTGCGTTCACACTGAGAAGTATGGAAAATGCAGTGCACTATGAGTGCCTGGATGGTGCACTCAAAACAGTCAAGAAGGTGAGTGTGGAACTATGGACACTTCTCGCCCTCAATGGTCGCCATCTTGGCTACGTAGCAGAAGGGGAGGGACCACTTTTCAAACGGCTGAGGACTGTGTGACCGTGAACGTCGCTGCATTGTACAAATACATGTGTTTTTTGCACTAAGCACCACTATACTGTTGTCAGGTATAAGCCAGCAGTGTGTTTGTTGGGTTCATTCAGCAGTCTGTAATGATTTGTCACCACGAACGATAACGCGAATGCTAATGCTAGTTTGCTATCTAGCTAATTTCCTGTCGTCATTTCCGGTGAGTGCACAACGGCCGTGTTTGGTTTGAGACAACACTACCCTGTCGAAATTCGCACACTACGCCAACGAGTACATAGTGCACACAGTATACTACATGGAAGTGTGCTAACGGGAGTATGTGATTTGAGACACACCACTGATGTCACTTCCTGTACAGGCTCCACCCACTCCCTGTAGAAAAGGTTTAATGACACAGAAGCTGTCATGTTTGGCGGCTCACTGCCTTTTGTTGGAGTTTGATTCGGTTTAATTTGAAGCAACTTTATTGGCATCAGGTGTGAAATAAAACCAAACACTGTGAGTACAGATCGAGCAAACATCTGGTTTGTGTACGTGTCACTGCTGACACCTCTGACACACGTCATCAAGAGCTTGCTGATGATGTTTGTACTTTTAATGAAATCATTTATCTTAAGTTTGGAGGATGTTGTGAGGTCAGGTCCTCTTACTGGATGAGTTGTGAGTATTTCACCTCGGCTTACTGTCGGCATGGAGTGAAGCTCCACCCACTGATGGAGGCCATGTGGTGCAGCAAAAAGCCGGGGAAGAAATCCAGTAAGAGGACCTTGAGTTAGAAGTGTATCTTATTGTGACTCTCTGTTTGGACTGAATCATGTGACCTGGAAGTGGAAGATGCCGGCGTACTGCGAGCTGAAGCTCTGTCCGGGAGGAACCACTCTGCTCAGGATCTGAGGGTCCAGAGTCAGAGAGGCGATGGCAGCCAGCAGCCAGCAGTCACCTGACAGACACAGAGCAGGGCACATGAGCTCCCCTGTCACAGGCCACTGTGGTCAGAGTGTGTGTGTGTGTGTGTGTGTGTGTGTGTGTCTCACCCAGCACTCCCTGACAGATGTCTGTCCTCTTTGCTCCATCAGCGATAAACTGAGGGTCAGAACACAGCTCCTGATTGGACAAGACAGCAGGTGATGTCATGATGATGTCACTGTGACAGTGTGATGAGCACAGCAGCTTCATATTTGATCATATTTTCGTTCTTTATAACTCTGCTGTTCTGATTATTTAACTTTAACTCTGATCTCACCTGCGCGAGTGAACCCGTCGTCTCGTTAATGATTCACACACTCTTATTTTATTAACCGGACCTGGTTTAATTTTATTGTTAATATCCTCAAACTGGCAAAAGGCAGGTGACCCGTGACGACCTGAGCTACAGCTGCTACAGCTGGAGGCGGAGGGATACACTGTCGTTCATCAAGAAATAGTTCCTAAAACTGTGTGTTTACATGAGAGGGTGACACAGCAGTGGACTTCCACTCCTCTTTTGTCCCGTTCTTGTGTTGTGAGTTTAAATAATGATGAAAAGTCTTTATTTACATCATGGGTATTCAACTAAAATTCAAAGAAGGTCCAGAACATAATGTCGAACTTGAGATATGATTTAGTGTGATATATACTGAAGTAGCCCAGGTGTTGTATCAGTGTGTGCAAACATCTGACTATCAAATCAAATAAAGAAAGTACGATTCAAAAACATTTTGGCAATATTAACTGTCTCTTCCTCTCCATCTTCTCTCTCTGTCCCTCGCTCACTCGTCTCTTCCTCTCTGTCTTCTCTCTCTGTATCTCTTTGTTTCTTTCTCTATATTTCTGTCTTTCTATTTTTCAGTGAGTCTTTCTGCTTGTCACTCGTCTCTCACCTCTCCCATCTGACTGTGTACAGAGTCCCAGTGTTAATCGCCTGGACAGCAGAGATTTGATTGGCTGGGTGGTATCAGGTGGGGTGGCTTAACTCGCATGCAATTGGCCTGTGCTTTTCCTGAGCGGCTAGAATAGAAGCGTCCCGTCAAAATTTAAGATCCCTTAATAATTTACTGGTTATAGGTCCAGGTCCGTATAGGACGGCGTCTGGGTCCGGACTCGGTCCGCTGTCTGCCTGTTAGTGACTAAGGATTTATATTAAAACTGCATATTTAAATATAAAAACCAACAATATTCACTCAGCTAATGTTGAAATAACTTCTGACAGAACAGTTGAAGCTGCTTTACTGAACTCATTTGTTATCTTGTCATTTTTCTGTTCTGGATTTATGTTACAGACTGTTGTCACACGTTGCCTTTCATTTTATTTCCTCTTTGTTGTATGTTTAGCTGCACGATAATATCGTCACCTCATCGGCTGATATCGACTTTAAAATCAACCATCAGAATCAGCCAACACTATTTTTCTTCTTTAGCACACTGAGTGAATATTACAGACACTGAACAGTGTCTCATGTCTCCGTCACCATCACAGTCTGTGTGTATGATATGATGTTAATTCATCTACAGCAGAGACTTGATGATGATGGTCACTGACATTAGGTGAGAAAATGCGGATGTATTGATATCAGTTATTGCTCAACTGAGTTGTTATATATCAGCTTCCCTAATGTTTAGTGTTAATTCTAACTGCGACAACCATGTGGCAAATAACTAGCGCCTGTTCCGTTAGCTCAATGCTAACACAGGAATTAGCATCACGATCGGGATGATATCGTCTCAACAATCTATTTTACTTCGTGGCCTCAACATGAGATGGCACATGGCTCATACTTCATGTTTCCTCAACAAACTGATCGCTGCTGACGTCACATCATTAGCTCTATATTATCATCACCATCCCGCCTCACCCACTCACACTTACTTTCTGTCCCGTCCCACCGTCAACATCAACCATCGATTAACTCTTGATTAAGGCAGAAGAATTTCTGATCCCTTTTCTTTTGGACTCTGGCATCAACATTTTCACATTTTTATCGAACAAATGATTCATCAGAAAACACAACCACACACACACTCAGTGTCTGATCTCACCGTGGGTCGTTTCCACTCCACACCAATGGTTTTGGAGGAGTAGCGTCCCAGCTGGTTGTATCCCAGAGAGTCCCAGTCTGCGGGGAAGGTCGGGTCACAGAACAGCGAACCGTTCTGCAGACACTCGCTGTGCAGCTGCTCAAACTTCTGCTGGTTGAAGGGGACGGCGTTGGCCCGACAACCGCTGCCGTCCTCCTCCCGGGCCTTCCTCCTCGCCAGCTCTGCTGCTGTGTTCGCCATCCTGAGAGGGTGTTGAAGGGTTACAGAGAGTCTGCTGAAAGTTTGCTGAACAGTTTTCTGAGAGTCAGTCGATTGAGATTCAGCCAAAAGTCAATAATCTAACTGAGCTTTAACCGAGAGTCCGGAGTGTTCTGGAAGTGAGAGAAACGACAGTCTGCAGAGAGTCTAAGTGTGAGCTGTAGGTGTGTGTGTGTGTGTGTGTGTGTGTGTGTGTGTGAGAGTGTCAGGTATAAGGCGGTCAGGTGTGAAGAGGCGGAGCTTTGGTCCAGCTGAGGTGGCAGTGTGAAATCAGTTGACTGTGAGTTATTCAGTCTGATAAACACAGACAGGTGTTTACACACTCGGGTTTGGCCTTTTCACCGTCGCCATCTTGGATTTTTGGAGCCAGAATGTACCATATTTGGCTGAGAGGGCGGAGCTTAGAGCTAATGCTAGCACTAACTAGCTTGGTGAACAAGCTGGTGAAGTGCTGACTCGGACACTGTCTGAATACAACTGAACGCTGAGCGAGCAAAAGCGTCACGGCGAGCTGTGATGACGTGAAAACACGCTGTGAGAAGATTCGACACAAAAACATGGGCAGCACTCACAAACAAGTTCACTGCTATTTAAATGTAAATGTTGCCATGGATACGCATCACTACACCTCTGTCTTGATTGACAGGTTGCCATGGTAGCGATTTGTTAATGTGCAGCCACACCTGAACACCGTGTCCTAACTACGCAGCTAATAACTAAAGCCAGCGCTTTTTTATTTTATCAAGGCTTAGAGTTACACATTATAAAGGGGGCGGGGCCTCTCTGAGTGACAGGCTGATGGTGTCCTCGGCGCCTACGCAGCTCCACCCTCTCGCCCAAATATAGTCACTTCTGGCTCCTAAAACCAAGATGGCGATGACTGAAAATGGACCTTGAGACCTCCGACCACCACAAACCAAAGGGTGGGGTGGGGGGGGAGGCTCGGGTCACATGACTGGACTAGAGTCCAACTCAAGTGGCAAATTTGAGGGCTTGAGACTTGATAGACTAACACTGGTGAAAGACTCGACTTTGACTTATTTATTTAATATTTCTAATATTATATAAATTACGTTTTGTTTTCAAAACGTGATGACGCACATATCACATGAGGACCTGTCGCTGATACTCGTGCCCACGCTACCACAGTTCTGTCCTCCTGCTGCAGCTCTCCTCGGAGGAATGGCGGTATATTCAGCAGCATCATGAGCGTCACTGTGTGCTTTAATCCAGTTCTGTCTGCGTGACACATGTCAGTCAGGTTTTTGAATGTGCTTCCTAACCAGCGCTCCGGGCCGTTACGCACACACACTGTCACCACTGTGAGAGTCAAGACATGTGCCGCTCAGTCTCGGACAGACTTCTTCAGGAAGGTCTCGGTCCGGTTGGTTTGGTGTGTTCACACCTGCACAAAGGAACAGCACCAAACAGGACAGGTGTGAACGCACCTTTACACAGTGCATCTGTGAGAAAAATGAACTGGGCTCAGGTTTCGTGGACGCTGGTAACAGAACCGTAGTCATGTTGCATGCATGTGCTGTGGTGGTGGAGCACCTGCAGGCCTCTGCTGAGCGATGGGACTCTGTGATGTCAGCTGTTTCACCTTTTAATATTTTCACTCATGCATTCATCTATGTTTTGTTGTTTTTTTTGATATTGCTTGGACCCAAATATTTTATTTGTTTGTGTCAATTATGAGTAACTAACTACTTCCTGTGAGGTGACCGAGACAAATATGGTTGGGGTCTTTAAACATCAGCGCTCAGTCACTGAAGGTGTCATCGATCATTGTGATTGGTCTGAGATGAGCAGGATGGGCGGAGCAAAGATTCAAAAGGTCTCAGAGGAAAACTCAAGTCGGTTTTCTGTGGCTGAAACAATAAGAGTGGAACGAAAAAGACAAGTTTGTCAGATGTTGTATTTTATCACCTGTCAACATTTGAGCAGGAGCCTGCGTGATGCATTCAGGTAAAACGGGACATTTCTGTAAAGTGAAAGCGACCTGTTGTTCGGCCACTAGCTGCCATAAAAAAACAAAATAATTACACCGGTCCAAAAAAATAACGTCCACGCATCATTCAGACATCTTTTTAAGTGCTATTTTAAAATACACTGACTCGTCCAAACGGGCCAATAAACAAATATTAAAATCAGGCAGAAACCAAATAAAGGTGCAAAGTGGAGGTTACCCTGTGCGCCTCTTGGACCATGCAGAATATTATTATTTTGGGGCTGTATGTACTTCCTTTGCAGCCATGTTGCCGCTCTCTGCTGCCGTACAGCCTCAGCCCATAATGCAACAGGTGTGGCCCCCAGACTCTTGTCATGTGACCTGTTGTCATGTGACCTCCTGTCACTACATCAAAATAAACGTACATAAAGAGCGACATGTTTTACTTTAACCGAACAGTATTTTTGAAGGTGGTATATCTTAAATGAAAGTGACTTTATTACAGTTTTTCTTGATTGTTTACACACATTTTCTGAAAGCATGCCTCATACTCTCAGAACTCTACACACAAATCAAAAAACACACACAAACCATCATATGAACAGACATTTATAAGAACCAGTTGAACACTGATGTGCTCAATGTAAAACACTATGATGAATGGAAAACACTTCTTCTCCATTCATCATAATGACTTAGGCCTTTTTTTGTTCAGTGTTACACTTACTACAGACAGTACATACATAAGTGAGTTGTAAAATATTTTAGAATATTGTTTTTATACTCAGAACACACAAATACACGGTAACAAATATATTTTATTTTTCCCACAAAAACAATGTACACAGTGTACATCCCCACCAACACAAAGTTGCACATACAGTGGTCTACATACAAAACAACAGAAGAATTTACTGTATACAGTTACAGTAAAAAAAAAAAAACAATGCTGCATCCTCTCTTGTGTTTCGGTCTGGCCACAGCACCTCATCCACATCACAAGCAATGTTTTCCCTGGCCAAGCAGCGGGGGAAATATCGCCTAGCATGGCGAATCCAGCCATGAAAAGCATCAACTGCTATATCTCCACATGAGTCTTCCATAGCTTGGAGAAGGGGTATACGAGTTTGTGGATTTCGGTCATACAATTTCCATCTCCAGGCAGAAAAAGTGGCTAGGATCTCATCAGAGATTACGGTCCTTGGCCTTCCTCGTCCTCGTCCTCCCCGTCCTCCTCCTCTTACTCTCACTCCTCTGGCTCTGGCTCTGCCTCTGTTTCCAGTGTTGGCATCCATTGCTCCAAAACAGAAAAGCTCACCTGATGCCCTTTTATGCTAAAGCTCTGATTGCTAATTGTAAAACTGTGTGACAGGTGTTTGCCCATGTGATGAGTCAGTGTGCATAGTAGGGCCATTAACTTTAGAATTTTGAATGACAGTGTGTTCTTTGTGAAAACAAGAGCTTTTCTTCATGAAAATTGTGCCAAATGCAGAGAATTGTGTGTAGTGTTTTGAAAAAAATGTGTTTTAGAACTGCAATTTGAGTGTAAAGCAGGAATTGTGCTTGTAGTTTAGCAGAATTGGTTCAGGGGGTTGGTGCATGAGTTACATGTTGTGGTCATTGTGTCTCAAGTACCAGTATTTGTGTGTAAACAACTGAGAAAAACTGTAACGACCTGTTTCTAACACTTCTAGTCAGTCAATGAAATTATGACAGAAAATATTAAAAACATTCAAATTAAACTTCAGTTAAAGTAAAACAGTCATATCACACTTTTGATTTTATCACTCAAAAGATATTAAAGAAGTGTGAAAGGAAGGTAATCTATGGAGCGCGTCCCAGTGACCCAACTGTGACATCACATCCTGCTGATTAGCAGCTTTCAGGTCACTCATTAATCCAAGTTTAAACCTCCTGAACTGTCCACATACTTTTGGCCAACAGATTCTGTGACGAACTTTACTGGTGATTTTATTTGTTTCCTGATTCTGTGACTGACTGATGGACATCATCAGCTACAGACAGACAGAGGGAGGGAGAGACAGACAGACAGGGGAAGGGAGAGAGAGACAGACAGGGGAGGGAGAGAGAGACAGACAGGGGAGGGAGAGAGAGACAGACAGGGGAGGGAGAGAGAGACAGACAGACAGGGGAGGGAAGGAGAGAGAGACAGACAGGGGAAGGGAGAGAGAGACAGACAGGGGAGGGAGAGACAGACAGACAGTGGGAGGGAGGGACAGACAGACAGGGGAGGGAGAGACAGACAGGGGGAGGGAGGGAGACACCGTCAGCTGGCTCCTCCTCCGGGTTTCGGGGCGGAGGTCTGAGAGACTCTGAGTCAGAAACAGAGAAAAAGTTTGATCACAGATCTTGGGACTGTCTCTAACTTTTGTCCTCCGTCTTGTCCTCCATCATGTCCGGCGTGGCGTCCACTCTGGCCAAGAAGCGGGCCATGGCTGCGGGCTTCGGCACCAACGCCAACGCGATTCGGTACCTGAACCAGGACTTCTCGGCTCTGCGGGCTCAGTGTCTCTCTGCCGGAAAACTCTTCTGCGACCCGACCTTCCCCGCGGCGCCCGAAGCTCTGGGCTTCAACGAGCTGGGCCGCAGCTCCTACAAGGTCCGGGGAGTCACCTGGAAGAGACCAGGGGTAAGAACAGGGGCCCGGGACCCGAACCGGGGTCCGTGGGGATGGGTGGGTGCGTGGGTGGGGTGGGGTTGGTTTGGGTGGAGGAGGTGGAGGAGATGCAGTTTGTTGTCAGATTCCCTTCAGGCTCATAACTCTGCTGCTCCGCCCTCATGGAAACAATCCACCAGGCTCCAAAATACCCTCCGTGTGTTTGTACAGGGAAATGAGACAGAATGATCGAGATATGATCGAGATATGATCGAGGTGTTACAGAGATGTTATAGATATGTTATGAAGATAGAGATAAAAGTGTCAGAAATATAGACATGACACAGAGATGATATAGAAGTGTTATAGAGTTATTAAAGATACCATAGACATAATGTAGAGATATTATATTAATATAGAGATAATATAGAGATGTTATATTAATAAAGAGATAATGCAAAGATGTTATATTAATATATAGATAATGCAGAGATTTTATATTAATAGAGATAATGCAGAGATATTATATTAATATAGAGATAATATAGAGATGTTATATTAATATAGAGATAATGCAG